TTCAAGTCAGTATAGACTGAACTCTGAGTCCTCTGATTCTTATACATACCCTGTGAGATTAATAACATTATCTTTATTTCAGCAGAAATGCAAGAGAGCCAAAGAAGTTACATATTTACTTGAGGTCATACAACAAGTTCAGATGTTTTGACTTCCAAATTAAAAAGTTCCAACTGTAAAATCACCTGAATGACACCCCTTCCCCGCAATTTTCAGTGTTTCTACATTTCTACTAGAAGACATAGAACATTTTGGTAATGCCATTCAGGCTTTCCACAAAGTAACTTCAGTCTACTTGCCTCAATGTGTCTCCTGTCATTGCAAAAACTGTCTACTTCATGCAATCAGACCTTCTGTCTAGATCACCCTGCCTCTGCTCACGCCTTCACCCTTTTCTCCCCCCTTCAATCTGCTTATTTACTATCTTTCACTCTGTCTCTGCTTTAATTTATAATGAGGCAGGAGACGTCATGCTAGAATTGAGTCTCTTGAGTGAAGAGCTTTTGATTCCCTGTGGAAACCCAAACAGTGTTGTTGTAAGTGTGTGCATTGAGCTTTCTTATATCCATATGGGAGAGTCTACATAAACTGAGTGTAAGTTATCTGGAGAAGGATTCTCCTAGGGGAATAACTCAATACCATGTAATGTCATGAAATCAGTTCATTGAATCTCTGAGTTGTATTTATGGGAGAGTTTTTATTTCTTTAACTAAAGAGGTGAAACCTGATAAAATGGGATGAAAATGTGAGGCAGTCCATAGGTCAGGTTCTGCTTATGTAAATGTCACTGGGTTTACCATTTATCATTCACATGACAATTGGACATGGTTGTCAAGTGATATCTCAGTATTAAGGTAAGGATGTCAACTACTCTGCCTTTCATATCCATATATCCAATCATTTGGTTAATGATTAGAGCTGTAAGGGGTTTGCTTTCATGAATCATCAGTTCCTAGAGGTTTATAGCTGGGATGGGAGGTGTTCAGAAATAAGGCTGGTCATGCAGAAAGATGAGACTGAGAAGAAGGGGTGATTTGACCCAAGTCATGGAAAGTAAATAGTGGAGCCAGAAGCTACATGTTAGGTATTTCATGCTGAAGGGAAAAGATGGAGGGTTGAGGTCCAGTTGCTGTTGTTGTTCTTAACTAGTCACGAAGGCAGCCATTTAGATCAATTCCTTAACTTTGTCAGCCCCCGGAAGCCTGTCTATTTTTCATAGGATATCCTAAATTATCTTTTTATAACTTGAGTTTTATATACTTGGAACTCAACAAATACTTTTCTGTCTTAGAAATGGTACTTGAATTTTTTTTCCTGTAGAGTCTACTTTTAGAAGACTTTTTGATATCCAATTTATAATTATTAACTTTAATACAGACATTTGATTTTTTAAACATGTATTTATTTCATCACTTTTTATTGTTATTCTATTAGATTTGTCCCCTTTCTCCTGCTTTGCCCTCCTCTGCCCAGTCTACCCCCAGCCTCCACAGTCAATTATTTAGCACACTGTTGTCCATGTCCATGGGTCATTCACACATATTTTTGTCTAGTCCCTTCCCCTTCCTTCCACCATTATCCCCCTCTCCCTCCTCTCTGGTCACTGTCAGTCTGTACTATGGTTCCATGCCTGTGGTTCTGTTTTGTTCATTGGTTTAGTTTGTTCATTAGATTCCTTTTATAGGTGAAATCATATGATATTTGTCTTTCACCAACTGGCTTAATTGACCTAGCATAATATTCTCCAGTACCATCCATACTGTCACAAAGAGATAGGAGTTCCTTCTTTCTTTTTGCTGCCTAGTATTCTATTGTGTAAATGTACTGCAAGTTGTCTAAGCACTCACTTGCTGAAGATATTTGCCTTTAATATTGATCGTTATGGTCAAACTCAGTAACTCAATTTGCCTTTACTCTCAGCACTAATGTCCTAATGATCTGAGCTCAAGAACACATTACATGTCTCCAGCATGCTTGTTCATCTGTTCTGCAGGCTTCTCTGTGTCCTACAGTAAAGTTCTGCTGGTTTTCAAGCACTACTCCAAGACCAGAGGACTCTCTTCTAGTGCTAAGATGCCATTCATACCTTTGTTTGAGCATGTCAGCTGTCTTCCTTATGCCTTCCTCCTTCCACTTAATGCATTTTTGACCTGTGACATCTTGTGATTACAGCTGTTCACCCTCTCTCCACATTTGGAAGTCATTTTTCTCCTCTGTAAATTTCTACAGCCCTGTTCCCACTCTCCATTCTCTTAAATGCCAGGGCATTTTATTTCATAGTTAAGAGGAGGCCCTGAAAGTTCTGGGAGCAAGGTTGGTAATATTTTGGCAGAGGCATGAGGGATATATTAGAGGATTTACAACAAATGGAGAAGCCAGTTAGGAGACCATTTAATAATGGAGGGAGGCCATAGGGGAAGAGGGGAGCAGTGAGCTGGAGTAATGTCAGAGGGGATGAACTCACTGAGGCCAAAGGGACTCCAGATTCTAAAGATCCTTGGGCCTGACAATGAATAGGATCTGGGAACAGGGGAGAGTTGGATGGGGGACTGGGGAGAGAAAGTGGAGGGAAGTGAGGAGTGCTGCTCAGAGAAGAGCTTGGGAAGGGCAGATGGACTGGGAGTACAATGGTCAGCTCTGCTTGGCACTGGCTGGCCCACAGGACTCAGGGAGCATGTGTGCCTCCTACCTGCCACCTGACACTATTCCAGGTCTGTTCAGCCTGGCTGTCATATAAATGGAAGGGAAGCCCTGCAGCTTGAAGATTTCTAGGAACAAATCAGAGAAATACCCATGCTAGAGACAGAAGGAATTTCAGAGTCACTTTTCTGTTTCTGACCCACAGGGGAACCTGAGTGCAAGGAGAAGCAGACACTTGTCTTGGGGGTAGTGGCTGATTCAGGATGAGGGCCCAATTCCCCAGTGCATTGGTACTTCCAGTCTCACAAAGAGCCTCAAAGTTCTGCAAAAGTCATGGATTAATTCTGCAGCCTTCTATTCCCCTGTGTTTAGTTTTTCTTCAGACATTTCATTCCTTAAGGGCAGAGTCTGGGTTTTCCTAAATTTTTAAATGTATTGCATTTTATTTTATTTATTTATCTTTAGAGGTGAAGGGAAGGAGAGAGGGAGAGAAATATCAATGTATGGTAGCCTCTCACGAGTCCCCTTGCTAGGAACTGGCCCACAACCCAACCATGTGCCCTGACTGGGAATCCAACTGTGATCTTCTGGTTCATAGGCCCACACTCAATTTAATGAGCTACACCCCACAGGGTGTAATTTTAATATTTACTCCTCCACCTACTCAAACAATATTGGTTTAGCAGCTACTGTGTCATTTATTTTCTGTTTTAGGCACTGAGAATACAGCAAAGAAGACAACCACATTCCTGTCTTTCTGGAGCTTACATTCCAGAAGGGAGACTTAGGAAACAAGCATAAAACCCAAACAAATATGGTTCATTTCAGTGGGTGATGAGTGTTATGGCAGAAAATAAACCAGAGAAATGGGAGCCAGGCAATGTTGTGGTAGGTTGCTATTTTATGCCCTGTGGTCAGGGAAGACATCTCTGTTGGTTTATGGCTGAAATGCATCCCTCAGGGTACACAGGCATCCACAAGGTAGGTGCTCCACCAGTGTTTACTGAATTACTAATGCTGAAATAAACTTCCTACTGTGTCTGTGAGAGAGAGAGAAAAAAGGAGGGAGTGGGAGAGACAGAGGGAGAAAGGCAGAGAAAGAGAGAGGTGGGGGTGGGGAATGGAGACTGCTTAAATTACAGGGTCAGAATGACCAAAAATGGTATTTTCTATTGTCCTGAAAGCCACTTTATGGTCATAAAAATGAGCCATGGAGAGATGAACTCTATCTACAATCTGCAAGACAGGCAAATTTCAAGTAATTAGTCAGATCCACTCTAATCAGAAATCAGTACACTTGATGCAATTTACTTATGTTCATCTGAGATAAGTGCATCTAACTTCAATCCCTTTGAATGTTTCTGTATTTGTTTAGGTGCACTAATCACATACTTCATTTTAAATAAAGTAATATATAAGTGCATTTTGAATTTTGGCATTTATAATGTATATTCCTCAAAAATTATGCTTTAATTTTGAATTATGTTACAACTTTTTCCTGAAAAGTTTTTGCTATTTGTTTATTTTAAATTCTTAAATAAATATATGATTGAAATTGTACACAGAGGTGTACACATCAATGTAGTAGACAATGGATTCTAATGTCTATGTATGTTTTAAGAACAGGATTAATTTTCAACTTAACAAAATAGATGCCAGAAAATATCTGCTGCTATTTTGAGTTTGTTTTTTTGCAGTTTTATGACTTGATTTGACAACCAGCCGTCAGCTCTCTTCCACATTAACTTGTTGTAGATCTTTGAAAGTGATGACAGGTAACCAGCATATAGAAGCTTGTTTGGTGAATCCTCACGTTCATAGTGATTTCTTGACGACTGCATCTGGATGCAACATGGGGCATCCCTTATTCCTTTGACTCAGACAGGTTTGTTGAGCTTGGTGTGAGTGCACACAGCTGGAGTCCCCATACCCTACATGGCAGATTTCCAGATCTCTTTGAATACCCGAGGGACACAATTCCTGAAACCCACTCCATGGATGTGCTTGTGAATGTTGACAGTGTGTTCTCTGTTCACTACCTCTTTGGTGGCAGGCTGTCCCTGTTTCTTCTTGGCACCCTTGAATGAAGGAGCTGTTCTGCTGGGCCCAAGTTGGAAAGCTATCTGCTATTATTTTGTACTTTTAAAATGAGGTTTAAGTAAAAATTTTTCACTTTTTCATTTGTATTTGAAAGATAAACTATTCAATATCCTAACCATTCTCAAAACAGCCAACTTGAAGAGCTGTCCAAATGAGTCATCATTTCATCTTCTCCCAGGAATTTCATTCTCAAACTTTCCAAGGTGAATTCGTAATCAATACACAATGTCAGTAAAAACACTGTGCACCCCACTACCAAAATGAAAAGGCAAAATCAAAGTTCTGTGGTTGAGTTCATCCTCTTGGGCTTTTCAAATTTTCCCAAACTCCAGGAGCAGCTCTTTGGGATTTTCTTGGTTGTTCACTTGGTGACCCTGATGGGAAATGCCATGATCATAGTCATCATCTCCCTGGAACAGAGCCTCCACGTTCCCATGTACTTGTTTATCCTGAACTTGTCTCTGGTGGATGTGAGTTTCAATGCAGTCGTAATGCCTGAAATGCTTATGCTTCTCTCCAATGAGAAATCTACAATTACTCTTTCAGGATGTTTTGCACAAATGTATTTCCTTCTTCTTTGTGGTGTGACTGAATGCTTTCTCCTGGGGACAATGGCTTATGACAGATTTGCTGCCATCTGTCATCCTCTGAGCTACCCAGTGATTATGAACAAAAGTGTTTTCATGAAATTAGTAATGTTCTCGTGGGTCTCAGAAATCATGGTGGCTACTGTGCAGACACCATGGGTTTTTAGTTTTCCCTTCTGTGGCCCTCGTGAAATCAACCATCTCTTCTGTGAAACTCCCCCAGTGCTAGAACTTGTATGTGCAGACACATTTTGGTTTGAAATCTATGCATTCACTGGCACCATTTTTATTGTCGTAGTTCCATTCTCACTGATACTCTTGTCTTACATTCGAATCCTCTTTGCCATCCTGAAGATGCCATCAACCACTGGGAGGCAGAAGGCCTTCTCCACCTGTGCCTCCCATCTCACGTCTGTTACCCTCTTCTATGGCACAGCCACTATGACCTATTTACAACCCAAATCTGGCTACTCCCCAGAAACCAAGAAACTGATGTCGTTGGCTTACACGCTGCTTACACCTCTGCTGAATCCACTGATCTACAGCTTGCGCAACAGTGAGATGAAAAGAGCTTTGATGAAACTATGGCGAAGAAAAGTAGACTTACACACTCTCTGACTGTGCTGGGATCCCAAGCCATGAAATATTTATTTAGTCACTGTCTGACTGAACTCTTTTACGTTTAATACATGGTGGAAAATCTTGCAGTTCTTAGCAGGAGTAGGTTTAATTGGTTTAGTGTTTGAAGTCCAATAATATATTAGGGCTCCTTTTTATTGTGTACTGTTGTTATTCATTTCTCAGGGGTATATCTGTTTTCATAACATATAAAACAATTACTTATCTGTTCCTGTATTGTGACCCTCTAGGTAATTACTGAATTATTCAATAAGAAGAAGCTCCAATAAACACCTATTTTAAGATGTGCTCATGTACTCATGTTTTATTTCTGTAGCATAGGTTTCTTAAAGTTGGACTGATTGGATGGAATGTATGTGCTCACACATTTTGATAGCTACTGTAGAATTACTCTTCAAAGTGATTGCAACTTCAGGTGGACCTGAAGGCCCTCCAAGAGGGTTGAGTTTCAAGAGACCAACAAACTGGGGAGAATTTTATTTCTGGAGAGGAAACCTGTTCCATGAATGGCTAAATTAGTAGTCATTTTTGGGAGACGACACTAGTTCTGTGTCCTGGACTCACACTGGTTATTATTCAAAACAGGACTCCTTTGGTATTTTTCCAGATACTCATCAGAATGTTGGTGAGCAGAGAACTACATGGAACTTCCCTGAAGTATCACTTGATGGTGTCAGTATATTTTTCAGCTAGAGACCACTCTTTGTGGAAACTTTTGTTAAATTTCTGTTTGTAGGCCCCAAAATGCTATGATACTTTGTTTATAAAACTAAGATGATTCATTTTTTATTATAGAAAACTAAGTGCTTAAGTATTTGTTCATATTTTCCATGTTCTCCAGTCATGTCATTAAGTATCACGTGGAGAGAAAGAAAGAATAATTTCTGCCCTGGCTGGTGTAGCTCAGTGGATTGAGTACGGGCCTGTGAGGCAAAGGATCGTGGTTCGATTCTCAGTCAGGGCACATGCCTAGGTTGCAGGCCAGTTCCCAGTGGGGGACATGTGACAGGCAGCCACACATTGATGTTTCTCTCCCTCTATCCTCATCTCCTCTCTCTGAAAATAAATAAAAAAATATTTTAAAAAAAGAATAATTTCTCACCTAGAAACATTTGAAACATTTAATGTTGCCTCCAATTTTGCATTGCTATTTATAAACAGGGAGGGGCCCCTTTGTTGAATTCATAAGACATGAGCTTCTATTGCTCTCAGTGTCTGCTCCAAGGAAGATAACAAAGGGGTAAAACATTATTCCCACTGTCACTCAGTTGTGAGGAAAACAACCTTTTAATTACTACTACCTTTGCCACAAATGAGAAGTAAAGATGCAAAGCTGGTGGATTTCCACAAAAGAAAATTTCATCATCAAATAGTCAAAACCAGTTTGTGTAATATTTGAATGTCATATACTCTTTTCAGTAGGCATTGAACAGGCATTTGGGAGTCCTTTAATCAGATTGTGTCCCTTGGTGTCCTGAAATGTCCTCATAGCCCTTACGGAGAGACCAGTTAAATAAGGCCCATCGAGAGAAAAACAACCTCCTAAATCCCAAGACAGATACACAACTTTCATTTCAATTTTTGTTCTTTCCTTCATTTGTTTACTCCTTCATTGATTGTACAAGTTTTGTTAGAGGTGACTTAATGTGACTGTCCCTGGGGAAATACAATCTCTGTCCTTGAGGACTTCCAAGTTGGCAGATTAGAAGATCACTGATTTTGGGAGGTCGCAGAGTTCAGCCACACCATACCTCTGTCTTCAGGTGAGGAACAGAAGCTGAACTGGCAAGGTTGTACACGTGATGATTTCAAAGTCACAGTGGTTCTCCATTTAGTTGTGACTTTGACAAAAGTCGTAATTAAATGTTATGATTCTACACTAAAGAGCAGCAATTCTGGTGACACCAGCTTTAGTCTTATAGCAGCTAATAGGACAGATACCTGAAATCATGCTTTCCTGGCTTGGAGGCTGACACAGAGATTTCCAACCACATGCAACGTGGAAAATAAAAGAGTGAACTTTTAAAATGTAAAACCTATGATGTCTCCCTTGGCTTAAACCATGTCAAAACATGCCCTTCTCCCCATCTGATATGTTTTTGACTGTATTTCAGCTGATTAATTATTATTCTTTCGTTGGACCTCCTTAAAGTGTCCTGTCCTTAAGGCAACCATTCCTTTTTGGGAGGGGTATATGTTAAAGATTTTATTTAATTATTTATTTCTTCACAGCCCTCTATTTAACTGTATATCTCACAGCAGTTGCCTGCTTGATATTTGACAGCTCCAGGCTGCTCTGCTCTGTGACACAGCTCCTTTGTTCCTTATCAGGCCCAGTGTGTCCCTGGCGGGTTTTGTTGTGACTTCACCCTTTGTACAGTTCTGGTGTCCAGGAGTGGAGATGAAGGTTCTTAATGTGGTACCTTGCATATAGTTCTCCTGCTCTTTATGGGACACACGGGCCACTTCTGCAGTTTCAGAAGGTTCAGAGATTCTTGGGAGTGAAAATCACTTCAGACACCCATCCAGATTTCCCACCACATGTGTCAGAATCTTTAGATTTTCCCAACTTTGGCTTCAACCTGGCATAATAGAACTTCTTTGATTAAACACTGAATTATCTTTGAACCTCATTCATAGAACTTGAACTTCGGCTTTTTCTGCCTGGTCATTGGGAGAGATGAGGGTGCTTGTGAACCACTGAAATATTCTTTGGCTCTCACACTTCACTTTCACTGGTTCACTGATTGGACTCGGTGGTTATCTATCTGCAGGGATCAGTGCAACACTATAACAACTACTTAATTCTACTATGCTTTGATTTATCAACCTCCATCCTTTCCTACCTTTTGATGCCCGAATTGTTGCACTGGCTAGTACATTTTCTGACATAGTTACATCATGCTAAGTCACCATTCCTGAAAGCTTGTATCACTAAATTGGTGGCCCAGTATCTCATCAGATTTTTCAAAATGTTCTGCATGTGATTAAAAAGGATGTGCTTTCTTCTGCGTTTTTACACAGTGTTCTCTATACATGTATAGGACTAAGCCACATTGTGAATATTTTCTTTCTCCTTTTGATTTATTCATTTCTTCTATCAATTAAAGAGGCATTTACAGTATGCCACTGTGATTGACACTCTTAAGTTTCCCTGTGATTCGGTCAATAAATTCTGGGTATATTTTCAGCTGTATTATTGAACACTTCCAGGTTTAGAATTGTTCTACCTTCTTGGAGAATTGAACATTTTCTGTTCAATTATAAATGAATTATAATATAATTATATAAATTTCCTTTTATATAACTATTATTTTGGAGTATTGTTTTCCTTCTTATGTTTAGCCTTTCCATATCCTTATGATTTAGATGTATCTACACTGAGGAGTGCTGTGGAGAAAGAATAAATCGGGGCAGCAGTGTTGTGGTTGGGGTTCAATTTTAAAGAGGTTAATTTGGGAGGATCTCATGGAGAAGATGCACCTTGGGCAAAGGGACATAAGGGAGTTAGAGTTTTGTGAGAGCATAGTCCATGTTTAGGGACAGAACAAAGGCAGTAGCTGTGACATGAGAACATTGCTCGTGGGTGTGAGAAAGAGCAAAGCAGCTGCATGGCTGAATAGGAGTGAACAAGGGGGAACTATTATGCCAAAGATGAGCCCAGAGAGCTGAGAGAGTAACAGGGTGACAGATCTTTAATCTACATTTTTTGACTTTGGCTTCAACAGTGAATGGGATAGGGTACTATGGGAGTATTTTGAACTGGAGGAAGGAAAGAAGGAAGGAAGGAAGGAAGGAAGGAAGGAAGGAAGGAAGGAAGGAAGGAAGGAAGGAAGGAAGGAAGGAAGGAAGAAAAGGAGGAAGGAAGGAAGGAAGGAAGGAAGGAAGGAAGGAAGGAAGGAAGGAAGGAAGGAAGGAAAGATTTGGAGATTATGGCAATTATCCCATGAGAGATGGAAGCAATTTGGACCAGAAGGTTAGCTTTACTAAAGGTGACAACTTTTTTAATCCTCACCTGAGAATGTCTTATTGATTTTACTGTAAAAATATTTTAATTATTTATTTTTAGAAAGAGGGAAAAAGAGAGGGAGAGACATATCAATCAGTTGCCTCTTCCACACACCCTGAATGGAGACCAAACCAGCAACTCTGGCATGTGCCTTGACTGGGAATCAAACTGGCAATCTTTCCCATTGTAGAATAATGCTCAGCCAACTGAGCCATCATTTGAACAGTCACTCATCACTGAACAGTCAGGGCTGTTTTATTGATTTTAGAGACAGAGGAAGGGGGTCAGGGTGGTTCGGAGAGAAAAGGAGAGAAACATTCTTTGGCTGCTTCTTGTAAGGGCTCTGACGGGAGATAGAACCAGCAGCCTTTCTGTGTGCAGGACAACACCCCAAACAACTGAGCCACCCGGCCATAGCTAGGAAAGGTGAACATTTCTAACACTGTATTTTGAAAATAGAAAAAAAAAAGAAAGAAAATGCAGCCACAGACAGGTTATGGTTTTCATATGCTTTGGGAGAAAAAAATGGCCTCCTTGGCTTTTGGCCTTTGAAACTAGAAGCTTTAAGCTGCTGTTACCTTGGATGAGGAATGATGAAGGTGCAGCAGGTTTTAGGAAAGGACTAAGCGTTCATTTTGGACACATTAATAAATGAAAATGTGTTCACTTAATTTAAAATGTATTTATTAGTAGTCTATATTTCACTTCTGACTTCCTGTAAACATGAGAGACACTTGCAGATTACTTAAAAGTTTCTGAAACTTTAGCTTTCTTTTTCAATATTTGGTTGCTGTTGTTCAGTTTTATTGCAAAGTATGTTATGTATATGATTGCCACATATTTGAATTTATTAATATTTTCTTTCTGACAAGGACATAATCAATTTTTATACATATCTCATCAATATTTTGGGGAAGTATAGAATTAGCAGCATAAAATGTGTTGTTTGTCTTATATTTACTCTCTCATTATTATCTGTTAAATCAATATTTTATTATTAAAATATTACCACTTGTATGTCTTTTTGTCTATTTTGTATGTCAATCATTGAAGAACAAGTGTTAAACTTACCACATTTTGATTTTTGTTTTATCAATTTCATACTATTGTTAGGAATTACAGTTTGATACTAACATTACATCCTTTTTACCCCCATTTGCATGTATCTGAAGTTTTTCTATACACTTTTCTTTGAAGTCCAATACACGCATACGAAAGTGTAAAAACTGTAACTCTACATCCTGATGACTCCTCACAGAGTACACATGACCTGTATAACCATCGCCGACCAATACATACAAAACATCAGTATGATAAAAGCCCTCATGTCATTTTTATGGGAAATGGATCATGGGCAGCATTTCCCACACTTGGCATAGGTGACTAGTTCACACATGGGGTGTTATCTAATCATGGTGAGTGTTATGGGAAGGGTTCTTGGATTAGAAGCTTTGAATGGAAACCTCCTTTTCTCAGGAGAACTGGTATGTTTTTCAATGCACACAGATCAGATGAAAGAAGCCTTATTGCTACCAGGAGGGATTAATTTCCTGGAGAGTGAATCCTACTGCAGGCCTGTGGCAATGATAAGTAGACAAAGGTAATCTGGCCACATCACCCAGTTTTGAAGAAAGCCATGCCTTCAGACTCATTTATCTCTTCACTCTGCTGGGACTGAGCCAATGGCTTACTAATTGTTCAAAGCAGTTTGGACTGATCCCTGAGTCCCTGGCTCTCACATGTGTCTCAGGATATTAATGATGTTATGTTTATGTTATGGACAAGGTAAGAGATTCAGAGGAGCAAAATGACTTGCTCTAATCATACAAAATAGTCCAGATTGCATGATTCCTAGTTTAAAATTTCTATCTATGAAAATAATTGTCATGACTTTTTTTTTTCTCAAAAATTTTCAGTGACTCAAATGACCAAAAGTTCTTGGACGGGGGGTGGCATCCAACCTTTCTACAAAGCTTCCCTAGAATGCCTTCACTTGTTTCTGACCACAACCAAACTGTACCCCCATCTAGTCAGATGCCCTGCCTGTAGGTCCCCTGCCTTTGCTCACACCCTCACCCCACCACTCTCTTCTTTCCCCACTGACAACCTTTATGCAGCCTCTGCTTTCTCCTCCTGTTGAGGGATGTCATGGTGAAACTGAGTCTCTTGTGTGAAGAGGCAGTGTTCCCTGTGGGAATGTGAGGGAGAGATGGCTCCAGGTTTGTGCTCTTGAGCTTTCTCCCTGGAGGGGCCAAGTTCAAGCCTCTTTAGTTATTATGGAAAAGCTTTTTTGAAATGATTAGACATTCACCAGGAAGGGATTCTCCAGGGCATACATTCAATGTCATAAAATGTTCTAGAATCAGTGCACTAAATCACTGAGTTGTATGTAAGAAGGTGGCTTTGGCTACAGGGAGAACTCCTGATACAGTAGTGGGAAACTTAAAGAGACAAAGTCAATAGGTAAGAAAGTAAAGCTTCTGCTTGTGTGCCTGCTGGTGGGCTTTCCATGTATATTTTTTCTCCCTGATAGTTGGAGATGCAGTGGGAGGGATTCCTCTTCCCTTGAGGGAGAGAGGGAAGGGATCTCAGGAATCAAGAGACACAGCTAAACCATTTGAATCAGTATACTTTTGGTTTTGATGCTATTTGTTTTTCTCTTCTTTTTTAGAGAAGAGTTCAGGCAACAATTAGGGGTAGAAGTATTTTGCATGAACTAGTCACCAAATCTTAGAGGTTTGCAACTGGCTAAATAAGTCTACTTCTTCTCTTTTTCAGTTGCAAGGATGAAATCTACAGAAGAGAGTGATCAGACAGTGTCAGGGTCTTCTAAATTACAGAGAAAATAAGAGTGTCTGCGATCAGCTGCTATTTGCCACTCATGAACATTCTGTTCCATAGCAAGCTCACAGTGAGTCCTAAAAGGTCTTCTTCTTTCCTTATGTGATACCCCAGATTTTCTGATTTTGAGAAAATCTATTCATTTTTAAATATTGGCAACTGAATGTATATTATTCTCTTCTTCCCATTAGAAATAGCTTTTAAGTCTTTGATGCTGTGGCTACATTTTAGTAGTTTTAGGTGATTTTTTTGATATTCAAATTTTTTTTTTAGATTTTATTTATTTATCTTTAGAGGAGAAGGAGGGAGAGAAACATCAACATATGGTTGCCTCTAGTGCGTCCCCTGCTGGGAACTGGCATGCAGGGGACTGGCCTGCAACCCAGGCATGTGCCCTGACTGGGAATTGAACCGCGATCCTCTGGTTCGCAGACCTGTACTCAATCCACTGAGCTACACCAGCCAGGGCATGATATTCAAATTTTAATTATTGTGGTTAACACAGCCATTCAATTTTAATGGATGAACATGGTCAAGCACAGAGAGAAATCTGCCTGCCTTCTGCCTGTTAATGTTCCAGTGATCTGCACTCAGACAACATGAAATAACTTCAGCTTACTTTGTCCTTACTGTGTTCCGTGTTTCTCACCTCCCAGGCTGTGTTTCCTGGTTTGCAAAACAGCCCACAAAGAACAATAGGCCTCAATTGTAATAATAATGTGTCACGAGATACCTCTGACCTGAGCATTCCTCTTTTCTACTTTCTCCCTCCTCAAAATGTGACTTCCACTGATGACACCTATGATTATGGTTGTTCACATCACCCCACTCATTCAGAATTAATCAAACCCTCTTTGAACTATCTAACTCACTTGTTATTATTTTTGCTTCCCAAAAGTTTTGTGTGCTGCTTTCATTTTTTTAAAGATATTCTATTCCTGAAAATTTTCATGGATTTTCCTCATTTAGCCCCCTATTCATCAAATATCTATCTAGCAGTTATTATGGGTCAGGGACTGTTTTAGACATTGCGACTGTAGCAAAGAACAAAAAAAGTCTTTGAGTCCTGGAATTTATGTTTCAGTGAGAGAGTTAGATTTTATATATACTATATGAATATATTTACTTACATGTAAATTATACTATTTAACTTATAGATTTAAATTAGTTTATAGGTATATGTTAACTATATATTTATAGTTATAATGTCAGGTGGTGCTCATGGAGAAAATAGAGCAAGGTATCATGGGAGGAGTTAGAGGGTACTGAGGAAAGGGTGGAATGCTAGTTTACGTAGCCTTTCCAGCTCTCTGTTCAGTTGTAGGATCGAATGCGTGCCTGAGATGACTGAGCCTAGAAAACCTTAGTTGCTTAATCAGTGTGTGTTGAATAACTGATGATGAAATGAACTTCTTCATGAGAAGACAATTTGGAAGAGAGAAAGAAGAAAGACAAGGAGAGAATGGAAACATGAAATTAGTTTCAGAGTGACCAAAATTGGACCTTCCTTAAATCATCATGGTCACATGTATGATCCAGAGAGAACTGGCTCTTAAAATTTCCCATGTGGTCCAATTTTAATGTAATTGGCTATGACCAGTCTATGCATAGACAAGTAAGACTGGAGGCAATTCACATTATTTACAGTTCAGTTAAAGTAGGTGTATCTGAAGCACAACCCCCCTTTGTTTGTTCTGTGGTATTTTCCTATTCAGCCAAGTCACATACATATATGATAAATATTGTAATAAATATAAAACAACTTTGCTGTAACTTTGAACTATGAAGTTGTTATCAAAATTTTGTAGGTATCTTTTTTCACTTGTCAACTTTTTAGTACTTTATTTTTTGTAGTCTTAAATTTCATATTATTTAAAATTGGGAAAAATGAATGATACTGATAGTAATGTCATGAAGATGGAATCTAAAGTATATATTTTGTTTTAAGGCTATGTTTAAAGTTCAAAATACATAATGTAAAAGTTGCAAAATAATTTTGATATATTTTGCACTTTACAGACAAGATTTCTGAGCCAGGATTCTTTACTTCCTCCTTTCTATCTGAAACATTCATTAATCTGAGTACCTGGCCATTCTCCATAATTGCCACACAGAGTTCCTGTCTGGGTGAGTTCTCTTTTTTAGATCATCTGCCAAGTACTCCTGGGGTAAGTGTAGACAGTGACTCAGCTATTGGACGGTGACTTCATAACTCCACGTACTATGTCCATAGAAGCAAAACATGCTCTCCTACTGAAATGAAAAGGCAAAATCAAAGTTCTGTGGTTGAATTCATCCTCTTGGGCTTTTCAAACTTTCCTGAACTCCAAGAGCAACTCTTTGGGATTTTCTTGGTTGTTTACTTGGTGACTCTGATAGGAAATGCCATGATCATAGTCATCATCTCCCTGGAACAGAGTCTCCATGTTCCCCTGTATCTATTCCTCCTGAACTTGTCTGTGGTGGATGTGAGTTTCAGTGCAGTCATTATGCCTGAAATGCTGGTGGTTCTCTCCACTAAGAAAGCATCAATTTCATTTGTGAGTTGTTTTGCACAAATGTATTTCATTCTTTTTTTTGGTGCGACTGAATGCTGTCTCCTGGGGGCAATGGCTTATGACAGATTTGCTGCAATCTGTCATCCTCTGAGCTACCCAATGATTATGAACAAAAGTGTTTTCATGAAATTAGTAATATTCTCGTGGTTCTCAGGAATCATAGTGGCTACTGTGCCAATACCATGGATGTCTACTTTTCCACTTTGTGGCCCAAATGAAATTAATCATATCTCTTGTGAAACCCCAGCAGTGCTAGAGCTTGTGTGTACAAACACGTTTTGGTTTGAAATCTATGCATTCATTATCACTGTTTTGATTATTATGGTTCCTTTCTCACTGATACTCTTGTCTTACATTCGAATCCTCCTTGCCATCATGAAGATGCCATCAAACACTGGGAGGCAGAAGGCTTTTTCCACCTGTGCCTCCCATCTCACCTCTGTTACCCTCTTCTGTGGCACAGCCACTATGACCTATTTACAACCCAAATCTGGCTACTCCCCAGAAACCAAGAAAGTGATGTCATTGGCTTACTCACTTCTTACTCCTCTGCTGAATCCACTGATCTACAGCTTGCGCAACAGTGAGATGAAAAGAGCTTTGATGAAGTTATGGCGAAGAGCAGTGGACTTACACACTCTCTGACTGTGCTGGGAAGCCATGAAATATTTATTTGGTCACTGTCTGACTGAACTCTTTTATGTTTAATAAATGGTGGAAAAGTTTGCAGTTCTTGGCATGGGTATGCTTAACTTTTTGACTTCTCCAAATCTGCTAACGTAGTAGGGTTATCTGTATACATGTTTTTCATAGATGCATTATATTCCTTTATGTTGGGTATAACACAGTTTCTTCAAAATACTGTTTATTGGATGCCATACAGGTGTTTGTTAGATTTTTGTACCTTCTGAGTATGCTAAATAAAAACCTACTTTTATATATTCATAAATACTGGTGCTTTAATTGCTGCAGAGTAGGATTTCAAACCCGAGTTTGATGGGTTAGAGCAACTGTGAATTTGCAAACTTTCATAAATATTACCAAATTACTTTTTAAAATTTCATCAACAGATTACTGAAACTTGGGTCAATAGCCAAATGCTGTATAATACTGTTTCAATTGAACATCAAAGTAGCTTCAGCAAGAAAGTTTAGTGGAATATTATTTCTTGGTATCTTGAAATTTCTGTCTCATAGCTCTTTAAAAAACCAATACAAATAAGGCTTACCTAAAACAATGAAGCAAACAAAAAGAGCTATTAAAAAGGAAAAGGGAACACTGAGTTTCCTTTTAATCGTTCTTTAGTTCATTTGATCATTCACTGAGTGTAGAAATCAAATTTTTTAATACCTTATTTTGTTTATTTTTCCAGCTTTCATGAGATGTAATGGACAATTAAAATTGATATATTTAGAGTAGAATGTGATGATTTGATATATGTACACTGTGAAATGATTACCACAATCAAGTTTATTAACCCATCCTTCACCTTACATAGTTAGCTTCTTTGTGTTTTGGTTGACAACACTTGAGATCTATGAGACAATTTCAAGTATACAATACATTATTATTAGCTATAGTCACCATATGGAACATTAGATCCTCCAAACTTAACTCATCTTGCAACTGAATGTTTGCGCCCTTTGACCAGCACCTCCCCACGCCTCCCTGCCACCCCCACCAGCCCCTGGGAACCAACATTCTACTGTATGTTTGTATGTTAGACTTGAAAGTTTTATTTACATATATTTATATAAAATTCCACATATAAGTGTTACCATACAGTATTTGTCTTTCTCTCTCTGGCTTATTTCACTTATCATAATGCCCACCAGGTTCATTTATATTATCATAAATGGCAGGATTTCCTTCTTTTTTATGACACAAACATATTGTATTATGTTGTATATATATCACATTGTTGAATCCATACCTCCATTGACAGACATGTAGATTGTTTTCATATTTGGCTATTGTGAGTAATGCTGCCATGAACATGGGAGTGCACACACCTCTTCAAAATCCCTTCTGCATTTTCTTTAGATACATACTCAAAAGAGGGATTGCTGGATCATATGGGAGTTCTATTTTTAACTTTTTAGGGAACTTCCTTTTCGTTTTCCAAAGTGGCTGTAGCAATTTGTATTTCCACTAGCAGTGCACAGGAGTTGTATTTTTTCCACATTCTTGCTAACACTTATCTCTTGTCTTCTTGATGATAAATATTCTAACAGGTATGACATAGTATCTTATTGTGGTTTTGATTTGCATTTCCCTAATGATTAGTGATGTTTGAGCACAATTTCATGTACCTGTTGGCCATTTGTATGTCTTCTCTGGAAAAGTGTCCATTCAGTTCCTTTGCCCACTTTTTGGTTAGGTTGTTTTATTTTTCTGTTATTGTGCTGTATGAGTTCTTCATATATTTTTTATATTAATTCATTAACAAATGTATGATTGGCAAATATTTTCTTCCATTCTGTAAGTTGCCTTTTCCTTTGGTTAATTATTTTTTTGCTGTGTAGTAGCTGTTTAATTTGTTGTAGTCCCACATGTTGATTATTGCTTTTTTGTTTATGCTTTTGATCTCATGTCCATAAAAATAATTGCTGTGACTAATGTCAGGGGATTTTTCTCCCTGTTTTCTTCTAGGAGTTTTATGGTATGAGGTCTTAGGTTTAAGTCTTTAATCCAGTTTACTTTTCATGAGTGGTGTAAGAGAGGGGCCCAAATTTTATTTTTATGTATGTGGTTATCGACTTTGCCCAACACCATTTATTGCAGAGTTTATCTTTTCCCCACTGAGTCTTCTTATCTTTCTTGTCAGATATTACATAACCGTATAGGTAAAGTTTTATTTCTGTGTTGTCAATCTTTATGCCAGTACCATACTGCTTTAGTTACTGTACCTTTGTAATATAGTTTAAAATTAGAACATGTGATATCCCCAGGTTTGTTTTTCTTTTTCAGCATTGTTTTGGTTATTTGGATTTTCTGCAGTTCCATATTAATTTAAGTATTTTTTCTAATTCTGTGAAAGATTAGGAAAAATACTAATTGCCACTGAGCTTTTGACAAGGATTACATTGGATATATAGATGGCCTTGGGTAGTATCAACATTTTAACAATATCAATTTTTCAATCTGTGAGCAGGAAATATTTTTCCATTTATTAGTGTCTTCTTCAGTGCTTTTTGTCAGAGTGTTTTAGTTTTCATTATACAGATCTTTCACTTTCTGAGTTAAATTTACTCTTTATTTTTATGCTATTATGAACAGATTTGTAAAATTTATTTTTGTATATTTTGTTGTTAGTGTATAGAAATGCAACAAATTTCTGAATGTAATTTATATACTGCAACTTTAGTGAATTTGTTGATTAGGTGTCACAGTTTTTTGTTTAAGTCTTTATGATTTTCTATGTACAAGATCATCTTGTCTGCCAACATAGACAAATCTTACTTCTTCTTTTCAAATGAGGATAACTTCTGTTTCTTTGTCTTGTCTAATCGCTGTGACTAGGATATCCCTTACTGTGTTGAATAGGAGGGGTGAGAGTGGCACTGTTGACTTGTTCCTGATTTTAGAAGAAAAGCTTCAACCTTTCACCTTTAGTATAATGTTAGTTGTGAGCTTGTCACATGTGGTTTTTATTATGAAGTATGTTCCTCCTATACCCACTTGGTTGAGATCTTTAATCATCAAAGGATGTTGAATTCTGCCAATTTTTTTCTCTAACTGTTGAGATGATATAATTTTTAACTTTCATTTTGTTAATGTAGTGTATCATGTTAAGCAAATTTTATTGATTATGCTATTACAGTCATCCAAATTTTCCCCCCTTTGTTCCCCTCTGCTCAGCAACCCCCTTCCTTCTACCAATCCCTCCACTTAGTTTATGTCCAGGCATTGTACATATAAGTTCTTTGGCTTCTCCATTTTCTGTACTTTTCTTAACATTCCCTTGGCTATTTTGTGCCAGCAATGAAGCTTATGAATCCTTGAACCTTTTCCCCCATTCCCCTCTTTACCACTCCCAGCTGTTAAGCCTCCAAATGATCACCATACATATAATTCTGTTCCTGTTCTGGTTGTTTGCTTAGTTTATTTGTTTTAGATTCAGTTGTTGATAGTTGTAGGTTTATTGTCATTTTAATATTCATAGTTTTGATCTTCTTCTCTTTCTTAAATAAGTCCCTTTAACATTTCATGTAATAATGGCTTGGTGATGATGAACTATTAGCTACCTTGTCTGGGAAGCACTTTATCTGCCCCTCCATTCTAAATGATAGCTTTGCTGGATGGAGTAATCTAGGTTGTAGGTGCTTGCTTTTCATCATTCAATACTTTTTGTCTTCAAAGTTTCTTTTGAGAAATCAGCTGACAGTCTTATGAAAACCCTTAACCTTTGACACTTTAATTATGGTATATCTAGGTGTGGTGCTCTTTCGATCCAACTTGTTTAGCACTCTGTGTTTCCTGGACTTGCATGTATATTTCCTCTGCCAAATTATAGAAGTGTTCTTTCAGCATTAGGAAATAAGGTGTTAATTTCTTGCTCTTCTTCTTCTGGCAGCCGTATGATTTGGATGTTGGAACATTTGGAGCTATCCCAGAGGCTTCCTGTAGCATCCTCAATTTTTCAATTCTCATTTCTTCTATCTCTTCTTGTAGAATGCTTATTTCTCTCTTATGTTCCAGATTATTGATTTGAATCCTGATTTCCTTCCTTTCACTGTTGGTCCCTTGTGGATTTTTCATGATTTCACTTACTAAAACCTTCATTTCTTCCTTTATGTTGTTGCTGTATTCAGTGAGTTCTCTGAGCATCCTGATCACCAGTGTCTGAACTCTGCATTTGAAAGGTTGGTTGTCTCTTTTTAATTCACATTCTTTTTTGGAGTTTTGTTCTGTTCTTTCACTTGGGCCATATTTCTTTGTTTCTTCCATTTAGCAGACTCCCTGTGTTTCTTTCTGTGTCTTAGACAGATCTTCTGTGACTCCCTGTCTTAATGTACCTGTTAACTTGTAAGAGACACAGCCTGAAATTTTTACCAGGGTGGGGCAACGTGGTTCACTACTTTGTGGCTCTGTGTGGTGAGGAGGGCTCAGAGAGGGGACAGTGTTCCTGCCTGGCTTCTGAAGGTTTGCCTGGTACTTTCAATTTTTCTAGTCACTTCACCCACTTCCCAAATGTGACTCATGTTCTTCCAACTGTTGCCTTGGTGGTGAATCCCAAGGTGGGTGAGTTTACACATGTTCTAAGTCCATAAGGGCCTTTTAAATGAACTCTCCTGAAAGACCAGCAGTTTCTTCCCCACCCCAACCCTCACTGGTTTTTAGACCCAGAAGTTACGGGGTTATCTTCCAGTGCTGGAACCCTGGGCTGTGTGGTCAGGCCTGGGGCTGGGAATGCTCACTTCCAAGGTGTCCCTTCAGATTTTTATCTACCACATAGAAATGTAGGACTGCTGATTTGCCACAGCCACTTCCTCTCTGCACCACACCACATCACCTAGCCTCTCTGCCCTGACTCCAGGTTTCCTCCCCTCCTATCACTCTGGATGAATGTGGATTATTTAAATCCTTGGTTTTCAGACTTCCATACAGTTCGATTTTCTGACAGTTCTGGGTGTTTTTGTTTT